ATAGTCGGACGGTGGAATGGACGGATGGTCGGGTAGACGAATGAACGGACGAACGGTCGGGAGGGCGAATGATCCGATGGACGGACGCGTCTGGACGGTAGGACGGGAGAAGACGTACTGCAGTCAATTGATTTTCCGGTTTCGACCCCAAAAATATTGATTTTGACTGTACATCGTGCTTCCGGGCGTATCTATTTCTATGATCAATAGTCCCGTAAGTTTAGTGAATGACGTATCTCTTTAGATGGACGTGCACGTTGGCTTGCGGGCGATTTCGTCTTCAGGTATCTCTCCTGCGGCGGGGCACTGCTCCCGCCGGGCGAAGGTCTGTCTTCCCGACTGGTCTTCCCTCTTGGGCTTACGGTACTGAAGTTAATACATGGAACTGAGTGTAAGGAAAGAGAACGCAAGAAAAAGGAACGAGAGATCACGCGCGATCCGGGGCCAGCTTGTCGAAAACAACCCCGTCCTTTGTCAGTTATAGTAAAGATTAGTATTTAAAAAAACGAAAAATAAAAAAAACAGAATACGACTGATCAAATAGCTGAACATTACGATTTTCCTTCTTCAATGATTCAATTCCAGCAGCTGTGGGGATAGTGTCGAACCTACTTTGCTTTGAAACTTACTTTGATTCATAATTTCAACACAACCGTTATTGTGAAATGATGATTCACGCCTGGACTTCAAACGTGTGATTCACAACGCATATGAACTTATTAGTTCGCATATGAAGAGCGCATATGAAGTATTATTAGAACGCATAAGAAGTATTATCTCGATTTTAGAAAAAACGTCCTTAAAAAGGTTGGGGACCTAATGTTGTTTACAAGGTCAATGCTGTCGTACTTCTTTATTTATTACTATATATTTGGTCACACTTGCATTTAATTTAATACTACTCCACCTGGATAGTATGTAAGGCAAAGGAAAAATCATGTAAATTGCGCTTCATTTCCGTAAGTGCCGATGACATGTCATAGACATTATGCAACCCCCAATGACGAATTAATTAGATATGACAATAACTGCAAATCTTAAATTTACTGATTGAGGGACTGTTTAAATGAAGAGTTAAAAGAGTAAAACAAATGTTACGACAAATCATTTACATTCAGACAAAGGTAGCTGTCAATGTAAAAATAAAAAATATTGTGTCTACTATGTTTTCCCTTGTACATTTGATTTCTACATGCTCTTAGAGTTTAATTTTTAATTTTTTCTCTATTTGTTGGCCTGCTAAGAATCACTTGCCAAAATGCAGATTTGTACTTCAGCCTACCTCCACATCATTTGATGTATTTTGATAATTATTTTTGTAAATTAATCACAAGTGTATGTACTACGACATTAACTAGAATTGTAAAGGCTACTGTGAAAACTAAAGAGTCTGGATTTTATTATTTCAGAAAAAGGTTTTTGAAAATTATGTCTGAACAAATGAGTATAATAAACAAACAAATACAAAATGAATATAATAAACAAACAAATACAACTGAATATAATAAAATACCAAGTGTATTATGTTTGTTCAAGTTGTGTCAAGTTGTACTCGTATAACCTTTCCTTTCGAAGTAGGTTAATGACCTTCTCCTTTCGAAATAAGTTAATAATTTCCTCCTTCCGAAATAAGTTAGTAATTTTCTCCTTTGAAGTGTGTTAATAATCATTTTCATTCTCAAATAAGTTAATAATTATCTCGTTTTGAAATCTGTTAAAACTTTGAGTCTTACATGGGACCGACACGCAAAGAGCTACATGCAAGCTATCTGCCGATAGCTTTCGTCGGCGTTAACCAACTTTCAGGCCCACTGTCTACTCTACTATTGCATTTACACTTAATCCTTACATTGCCACGAACTTTTTCCATAGATCTTCACCATTATTCATATTTTGTAGCCTTTTTGTCGTCATTTCGTTTCCATCGTGGTGATACAATCGTCATCAAATCATCGTCAAATTTCGTGGTTGTCACATTTTTATTGCCTCGTATTCGATTTCCTCGCTGCTTCCTCGACTCATTCTTGTCAAGTTTTTGATGTCTGGTTTGTATTGGCTCGTTTTTCGTCGAATGCGTCGTGTAGTTTTCGTTTCTTTGCCCACTCTTTTTCGTCGTCGCTTTCATCTTTTCGCTACAGTCGCTTTATCTTTTAATTTCTTCTTTCTTCTTCAAATATCTTTGTGAAAAGTAAGTGTTGGTTTTCACAATTATAGCCAAAGACAGACTTTTTAAAAATCTTATACACGTAGACAATAAAGTAATAATATGTATTCAGATATGTAGACACGGTAAAACAACATTCGGATAGGCAAATGAGTCCATCCCTTTCCCTAATATGTATTAAAAATGTATCTATACTTTTTCTATACTTATTTTTCAGTTGAGAGTGGACATGGAAAACAAATGTTTCAAAATGTACGGCTAGGGAGCCGCTTTGAAATTTTTCATAGGAGGGCCACAGCCCTCCCCTCACCCCCGTGTGTCAAAGCCTGTGCTCGAGACATTTCAATCAGACCTACGATTTCCGAGACATTTCCAGCTTCTGTAAGTCTCTCCCTCTCATCCCTCCAATACCCCTGTCAATAGAGATTTGTCCGGAGTTAAACACGTTAGTATGTACGCTCGTATTGAACACTTAAGCCTCTGAGCATGAATGAGCTCAAGCATTACACTATAGTGACAGAAGAAATAGCATCTTAACCAGAATGAGCACGTATGATCACGTTGCTTCACACGAATTCTGTGACGTATCACGATAAATGAATTTGTTCCCATTGTGGTAGCAGTGAGTGATATAAAACCTATAGTTCTCCGATGCAACATGATGTTGGTGGCTCTGATCTGCACATATAATTGCGTCCCATGGGAACTCACCGCACTTTGTAAATAATAATTGTTTTAAAGCTGAAAATTACTTCACAGTAGAAAGCCGCTTTAAATACGCAGCCCTGCCATTGTGCATTACACCATTTTAGGCCAAGTACTGTGCGAGATAACCATTCTAATGTTGCTAAGCGTTGAGATTAAATTGCACCGAAAACAAAACAACCTCTTCAATTTTTTTGTAAAATATTACATCTGTTTTCATAATCATCATAATCATACATACCATGGATTAGGTCTTTAGATCTTTCAGTCTCCAGGACTTTTAATTGGTCATTCTCCCGCAATCTTGCACGACTGCATTTCTTTTGTCTTGGGGTATATATTTACAACGGAATAAGTGAGCCTCCCATTCTCAGTAGGTGGTCATGACAGTGAAATCTGTATGAACCCAAAATTTGGCATACACTGTTAAATTTTATTATCATCAAATAAACTATTTGATTCTCTTATAGTTTCACAAAGTGTACCCTGTGAGTGGACTCAGCTGCTTTCATCTTATCTGTTAAGCCGTTATTTTCCATGCATCGGCACAAAAGAAAAGAACTGGAACCTCCATAGTCTGGTAGAATTCAATAACGATATTTTTCTTACTTTCCTGAAGAATTTGTTTCTTTGTACCAAGTAACTGCAGAAAATTCGCAGGTCCTTGTTAGTCCTTAAATGATCATACTGTATGTTGTATTCCGAGTAATTAAATTTTGAATCCTGTTCAATTATGTTGTTCCTAATTTCAATTTTTGCTCCTAAAGAGAAGACTTCTCTAAATCACACGATTTTGATTTTACAGGCACATATTTTGAAATTATGTTCTCTGACAACGTTAAAAAAACTAAAAATTAACCTTTCCAGATTTTGTTTGGAGTCTGCTAGAATAACATAGTTATCTGCAATACGCAATGTATTCAAGAGCATAGTACTAATACAATTTGTTTCCAATTGGCTTTCCCATCGTCTGATTGTCATCAAAATAAAAGTTAAAAATATTAGGTCGTACGAGGCACCACGGCCTTACACATTAATTAATTGGTTGGTCTGTATCTGTTACCTGGCCCATCTCGTGAATTCACTCTTTAAATAGTTTATTTTAGCATTTTTACATCAATTTCGCGATTTTGCGGTTTCCTATCAACCAATGTTATGGTGTGGGACCACTCAAAATAACTAAATCACCAAAAGTTCAAAAAGATCACTTTTGTAGAATACTGTTTAAAAAACAATTCTTACCCCACCTTTACCCTTCATTTCCCCACCAGTCTCTGTCTGCCTCCTTCATGATTGCTACATCTTTACCCACAAAACGCATGTCACCTATCCCCTCAACATTCTGGGGAACAAAAACCTTACCTAAGTTTTTCTAAAACCAACGTTTTTCAGCTAAGCGCGATTATATTGTGTATATATAATAATATAATGTATAATTGGTTTTTATTTCATAGTCTGCAAACTTCAGTTTTGTTTCGTCTTAAATTTGTTGGATGCAGGATTGGGAAGTAAATTCTTATCCAGCAATGGCACACTTACAATGTTTTGTGTCGATAACTTGTTATAAATGGTCAAGAAATCGCCTCTCCTTTTCACGCGGTTATCGTTTTAAACCCCTCGTTAACTCGCCAATATTCCACGCATCCCAATGGGCCTCCCTTTTCTGCATTCGATGTTCTGTCTCCTTCCCGCGTCATCTTCTCCCACCCGGCGACGCCTTCTGCTCTTCCCCTTCCACGTTTCCCTTTCCACGCGGAAGCGATACGCTGTGGCGCTAGATGGCGCATGACGTCCATGTGGAGAGAACTGTGTCATCAATTGATACGCCATGCGCGACGCACTGGCCTGGTCTCATTGATGTTTTTCTTATGATTAGAGAACTACTTGTTTTGTTATTTGCTGAGCGCGGTATTACGGCACGATATAAAACTTTTAGTGACGTTTACCTTAGGTCACTACACTAATATATTTTCTACATTTGGCTCGCTTTAAGTTTTTCAAATACTTTCTCAGCGAATAGGCGATATTGAATAGGTCTTCTAACGAAAAACCTGTAAGAGAGAAGTCACCCATAAACTATAATACGGAATATTCTCCTCTGTGATGGGTTTGAAAAATGAGACTAATATATTCGGGTAGTTTTATTTTACGTGCGTTTCTGTCATAGGTACAATATGGTTTGTATATTTAAGTTTATTTATTACACACATTTAGTACATATGAAAGAACACTTGAATGACGCGCAAACCAAACTGCCAGGGGGAAGAAAATTGTGTGAAGGCCATGAACATATTTTTGTTTTATTTTCTCATCCTATTTTATCAATGACTTTACTACTAATCTAAGAAAGGTAAGGTGCGAGTGGGTAAGCGAATTGAACATGTAACGAGGTAAAGCAGTTACTAATAAATTAATTCATATTAGACATTTGTTAGTTCAAGGCCAGAAAGAAATAATAATTGAAGATGGTTTGGGCGAAATACATGATTTATTTAACATGACATTAATTGATAAATGAGGCATTCGTTCGTGTATTTATAAAGTCGGTTAGGAACTTTATTAGTGTGAAAAAACTAACAAATGAAATTGGATTTTAAAATTATTAATCACGAAGAACCAATGTGATTAATAGTTTGAAATCAAATGGCAATATCTCAAGACTCCTTGCACTCCTCAGTCCTCAGGACGCAATGAAAGTATCCTCGCATCTGGAAAATGTTACATTTTAAGTTAACCAGCAAAGCTGAAAATTTGATAGATAAAATGGTCTCAATGTTCTTAATGAAACCCCCAAAGCAAAAAATACTCGAAATGATTATTTTTGATCCAAAACTACGAGAAAATGGGTGAGATTGAGAGATTATAAATTTTGTATACATTCAGTGCGGTATTATTATTTTGCATTGTGCCGTGAGGCAGCTTTAATACTTTCACTCTAAAAAATGATGAATTGATTAGAGAATGATTAATATTTTCTGTTATGTTAATACGAGGTATATAATAGATTGTCATTGCTTTTCACACCACAGTTGCATGATATCTTACACTGGACTCAAACCATCACCCCTTAGGATCAGTGCGCCATTCAGTTGAGCTACTGGGGTGGAGTAGGAATACACAAAGGTATTAGGAAATAGATTTTTAGTGACATCGAATGTGTTGAATTGATAAAATACTTTTTTTGGTTTGTGTTGTAATCAATTACTAAGGGTAAAGATAAATGTAACTTTAGGTTTCCCTAAAAGCGAAAATAAGAAATTGCTTAGAGCAGCCACTGGTGGGATTTTATTATAAAGTATTCTACGAAAATGTACAAAAATGTATCTAAAAAATAATTGTTGATCAAATTGCCTACTGTACCAAAAAGTTTGTATTTCTGAAGGGGTTCCCTCTTCAATTTAGGGCTTGGAAACCAACAATATCTACATCTTTTCGAGGTAAATGTAATTGAAATTGTAAGAGGATTGGTAAATTCAATAACCCCATTTCCCTTTGAACAATATTTTGTCTGACATATTGAACACAATGAACAAAAGTCATACGTTTTCAATTGATATAGTAATAAACAAATGTCTGTTTGAAAGCATTTGAACCTCTTTTCATTAGAGTTCAGCATAATTTTTCCTGACGTAATTGGTTACACAAGACCTGGTCACTTTAAAAACGAACAATTGAATTTTTTTTCTCCGACAATATTTTATAATTTAATTATTTACAGACTTGATAATACAGATACTCAATAATTATAGAACTTAGTAATTTTATTTTATCAGATTCTTAAATAATTTTTGTGTTGGCCACATTACGAACAGTATTCAAAAATGAATCTAGAGGAAACGTGAACACTTGGCTATAACGCCAATCTCCCGGGCATTACCAATTTATCAATGCGCTTCTCAAACCTGACAGATTTGATTATTTTGAGCAATCATTTTACATTACTCACAAATAAATGTGTGTAGTCGTGTTACTTTTTGTAATTTGTCTCGTGGTAATTGTTTAATATTTCATTTAAACTTTATTCATATGACTCAATTATTTCTTCCTTTGCCACGCGAAAGTATTAGTTCAGAAACTAGTCATCTCTGGACTTTTATAACATATTAAAATATTTTTACTTTTCCCAAGTGAAAGAAAATTAATTCGTTTAATTACATAAACCCCTCAATTCGAGACTATTTTGTTCCTAACGTCACACAAAAACCACTTCTCTCATCCATAATTAATCTTAAACGTAATATGGACTCTTGAAAATATCGCGCTCTATCATGAGGGGCAGCGTAATTTTTATATACTAAAATACAAAAACAAAGGACAATGAAATCGACGTGTAGTGGCACTTTAGATGATTAAATTACTACTCTCAATTAAACACATTCTTCAAAATAAACATCTGTATGTTGCAGTCAAACCTTATGCTATATTTTCTGTATTTTTATAAATATAAAAAAATATATTTAATGGCTGCGAGATGAAGAAAATCATAAAGCAAAAGTGCAGTATCGTGATAATTGTGACTACTGTTTGTCGTAACTCTTTGTATTACACTTAATATATAATTTATTGAGTTCAAAGTAAGGATTTTCATTGCTCTAATTATTTTATTGACCTAAATATGTATTATACCATGCAATAATACAAATAATTTTTGTGAATTTTTCTTCTTCTCCACAACTCATATTCTTAAAATGATATGCGTATTTCCATGAAATATATATTAAACAACACTGATGGGAAGTGTGAACAGTAACATCTTACTATTTTTACCAGAAAGCATGATTTATTTTTAGATCTTTTGCTTTAGAATAATTATATATTATTTGATATTGATATTTGTTGAGGTATCACATGCATTGGCTAAATTTGTGTTATTTTTGTTGACTTAATAATTTTTTTAAAACGTTTGTTGTAGTCTCATACACTTTTATTGAATACAACAAATTTAACCGAAGTATTACAGACATTAAGTGATTGGTTTCCCCGACTTGTTGCACCACAGATCAGTTCTTTCTGAAAAAAGTAACAAAACTCAAGAATAGATAACTGAATAAATGATAAGTCACGACATTGATTTATTATTTGGTTTACGTATTTTTTATTGCGTAGCTATGATATTAAGAACCATTAAGTGAAAATGAACCAAATCTATTTAGCTTCATCGTCATTAATTTTTCTTTACTGGTAAACCAAAATAAATTAACGATTACAGATTATATTGGAATATAAAGTGTTAAAACTTACAAGGTCTCATTTATCGCATTAGTATAAACAGTAATAAAATCATCGCAATCAGTAATAATAGCTCCGTAGCCAAATCTAGTATTTTATCCCAACCATGTTCAAAGTAATGTATAAGCATAATTACGTTACCCAGTATTTCCAAGAAACAATATTTATAAAATTGCTACTTAATATGCTGTATGCTTCCTAATTTCAAATTATTTACTATTATTTACAAGACAAACAGTGATGTGACAGTTACCTACAAATTCATAATTTTATTCGGAAGTGTCTAGTAGTAAATACGAAGGTGGGGTTTTTAAAGTGTCTAGGGATGTTCACAGATAAAAGGAAGTTCTGTCCAGCAAGGAACATCATTGAAGAAGCCGTTTCGGTTCATCGACAGACAATTTTCTCCGTGCTGGTGAGTGTTGTCGGGTTGGTTCTTCGCCCAATTCACGTAGCCAGTCTCGTTCAGAGGGTATCCTGTAGGAAGAAATGGGCATCAATCGCTAAAATGGCTTCAAGGATATCACAAATTCTTCTTGATACTAAAACAAAGTTCGATTGGATGTTCTTATTATTACCGTATTGTTCAGGTACATTCTTTCAACATCAGTCATTGTGAGTCATCACGCTGAAGTACATTACTTGATGCAGGCATATCTAGTCTTTTAAAATTATACAGCACAATTTTTAATTAATTAGATATCTTCGTTAAAACAAACTATTTTTCTTTTTAATAGGCAACATAATGTCTAATTGTAAAGAAATGCACGAGAAAATATTTTATTTGGCAATTAAACTTGTGTATCGATTTTAATTGTTTAAGGCATCTGGCGATTAGTTGTCAAGGAACGGACATCTATTATAAATGGATTTCTTGTATTGAACTGTTGTTCTGACACGTAATAAATATGATTCATTCGACGAGAGTTTGAATATAAATATCTGCATTGCATGAATACGCGATCCCACACGTGAGTCAATTTTGACAGAAAGTACAGATTCATAAAAGAAAAGGCAATGTAATTGAAAGATTGTTTTTTTTGTTTTTTTATTTGTGGTTTGACTGAACCGAAAGACTCAGATATTGTTCTGAGATTACTTTTACACCAGCCAATTCAATTTTGTTCATCTCTAATGACGAATGCGATTGCCTGTTTGAAATGCAAAACAGCATTGAAACAACATTCCATTCCTTTACTATTAATTTGTTATTACGATACCAATTTACATTGTCTGAAATCACACTACTTATTCTTTAATTTTTAAACAGGATACTCGTGTCATCAGCAAACAGAAATGGTTCAAAACGGTATTCAGTTTACGTAGAGAAAAGAGCATAGGGCCTAAGATCGAACCCTGCTGGACCTCGTTTTCAATTAGAAAAATAAGTAAATAATGTCCTGTCGTTCCATTACGATACATACACTCTTCGTTATCGATGTGTAAGGTACGAACATATCAAATCCATGGCAATTACGTGCATTCCATATGAAGGTAATTTTGAAGGTAAAATGGATTACGATCAATGATTTCTAAAGCTTTTGAAAGATAGAAAAATATTGTAATATGTGCCTCATTTTGATTTATCATGCATTTTAGTGAAGCAATATCATTAAGAAAAGGAAGAAATGCTGTCTTTCATTTCATTTCAGCAATAATTAGTGAGTACTGGCACAGAACAAATTCGCACTGATTATTTCACTTATCTCCACCAAAATATCAAGTTTCTCACCAACGACTGTCTCCCAGTCGCCCTCGGAGTAGAGGTCGTGCACGCCGAGGTACTGGTAGTCATTGAAGTGCGTGGGCAACAGGCGCGGGCAGCGGTTGTGGATGTCCATGAGCGCCAGCGCCTCCGTGCGCGAGTTGGGCACGGCCAGCTGCGCGCCCTCGCGCTCGCACGCCTTCCGCGCCTCCTCCCACGAGCGCGGGCGCGCGTGCAGCCGGTACACGCCCACGCCCGGCACCTCTTCGTAACTCGGATGCAGGCTCCCGTCTGTGAACAGCAATTCAATGACACCAGCGACTCGCTCTCTGTCTCGCATTTGCTCAATCGTGCTTCCTGCCAGTTAAAAATGCAAGCCTTCAACTTCAGCACTACCAAAAGGGCGAATGGAAATTCTGGCTTCTGAAGCTGTAGTCACTAAACCTCACCTAATATTTAATGATCACTTACACATTACTAAGAATTAGGACATTCACTAATCACTCGCTCATTCTCAATCATTTACCTAGTTATTAACGCTCTAACTTGATAATTTCTGTAGTCATGAATTTACTCATACACTTACAAAATCATTCATTTACTTATTTATGTATTTGCTTACTCATATACTTACCTATTTACTAATTAACGTACCAATTTATTTACTCATGTATTTACGCGCTCATTTACGAACGCACTATTTCATTTATTCACTCTTTTAATTACTTATCTTTTTTCGCACTTCTTCCCTCACTTGCCCTCTAGCTAGTCCTCTCATTCTGTTTCCTTTTTCTCACACAGATTCAGTCACTCAACAGAATCGTGCTCATCACCTCGATACTCTGGAAGACATCTTGTCTTAAGAGTTATTCAATAGAAATGTACTAAGGATTCTCGTGTGCGCGATTAATCCCGCGACAATTTTAAATTATGTCTAGAAGTTTCCTTCCACGGAGAAAAGAGACAAATACCCATTCAACAAAATAAATCCGAAATTCAATCATTGTCATTGTGTATGCTGACACGGCCAATACGAAGTTCAAGGGTAGACGGATGTTGTCTGCCATATGACGAAATAAGTAATTCATTCATACTTGCTCGTGCTCATACATTCGTATTCCAGTTTGCCAGCAAGTTCGTTATATCTACGACGGTTGGGGCAGAAGTCATGGCAACTATTTTTTCTAAAAGAAATGTTATCGGATCACACAATTTTATTTATCATATGAGTGAAATTATTGTAATTGTGTGTTCACAACAGATGGCTCTGTGAGTGTCTCAGAGCAATGTGAAATGAGTAGTCCGACTGCCGCCTTGCGAGATGAATGTAACCATTGTAGAATTCACAACAATTATGTAGAATTACCACGGCGCACCCCGCGTTCGATTCCCATCCAAGGCAAATTATAACTGTGCGCTTTCCTTACAAATGTCTCAGTATCTATTGCTGTGTGATGATGGGATAGCCCACTCTAAGGTTAAGAAGACCCCCATACATGGGTAAATGATAATGTCGTCGTGCTAACCACGATATGGCCAAAATGCTGGGTCACTGCTGGTCGGTCAAGGCCCGTAGCGAGTTCTCTAGACATAGGATAGTACACTGTAGAAAAATTAAAGAATTGGTTTGCTGTTTTGGAATATTTTTATTCCATCCTCAGGGCTAGTGTATGAGTAGCAAAGAGTCTGAGAAGCACTGTCTCAACTACAGTCTGGGGTGCACTTGTAGTTTTAAATGCAAAGTCATCCTTTTTTAAGATTGCAACTTTTAAAAGTCAAATTCCTAATGCTTTGAAGCAGTTTTGCATGGAAGCCATCTTAGAAAATGCTTCATTAAAAATCTCAGCTATCTCGTATGCGGTTATTCTTCCCATCGGACCAGCCGTTTTGACAATGGGATCACATTCCTTGTTGTTGGCCGCTCATAATGGTTCGTAAACAGGCAGACTATGCAGTTAGCTTGATAGTTACTGCACATTCATTCGCAAATGAGCAGAACTACTTACAACTAAGGTCGTAAAACATGTTTCTAAATGTTAGTAGGTGGTCCGCGAACTTCTTTTTTTGAAACCGTCAGGAAACATGGTTAGCGTTCGTACTTGCCATGGATGTTCAGGACGACATTTCCATCTTTACTTATAGTCCGCACCGCTTCTTCAAAATAAGTAAGGAATTACAGAAGATTCTGCAGCCCAACAAACAGTTGAGTCTTACACGGTGCACTTCACAGCATGTTCTAGTTCATGTTAAGTCCACTTTGCCTTATTTGTGACCCATGGTATTTTCCGAAGCTTATAGTGGAAACAAAATAAATTGCATTATATTGAGTTTGTTTAATCGTGTTAAGTTAAAATAACGAACGTGCAGAGAAAGCAAGCTTGCAGTTGATTGACTTTGGTTCCAGTTTCTCCTTCCTTATGGCTCTCATTACACTGAGTGGTAATGTTTTTGTCTAAATTACAAAATGTTGGATAAAATACGTTTGCACTTATTTGAATTTGTTCTAGTTTAACTACATGAATCATACAATAAATACAATTTATTGAGATCCATGTAAAAGCATGATGCAAACTCACCGGCTTAACATAAAATCAGCAAAAATTACAGGTAGACGGCCGAAAACACAGTGTGACGTCTGTTAGGCAAACGGAGGGCCCTACGACACTGCTCATGCTGTGGACGAATGATGCACTCTAGGGAACCTTCAGCGCAATTCGCAGGTTTCTGGCGTGTCAAAGTCAAAGTATTTTGGATAGGCTCCTATTACCCGTAGGCGCCCATTGCCCTGCTCTCCCCTACCCACCTTGTACTAAAGAAGTATAGATATTTACAATCTCTCAGCAGCATTTTGGCCGGATTTCTAGCCAATTTTACACGATGTTCCTGCAAATATTCAAGTATCCCGAAACGTTGGCAAACCAATGATTCAATTTTTGTACTCCCTCCGACCAAATCCCGTGAACGCTATTTCCTCAATATAACTCGTTTTGAGCAGCGCTTATTCACCAATATACCCGCTCTCCTCGGAAGAAATGACTGAGAATATCACAGGGAATTAGTGAAAGCTCTAGAGAATAATGCCCTTCCATATGCAGAACAGTCTCTAGATGGACAGACGAGTTTCTGCGAGCGCGCGTACTAACCAGCACGCAATGCACGTGACGATTTGTGAGAGGCAATGCTTTTGTAATGTTGTGAACTCGTATATGGTAAAGGTAAAATGCTTTGGAACGTAAAACCAAAAGTCATTTCAAATACCTTAATAAATATGAGAAACACAATTTTGGTGGGTCGTAAAATATCCGTACACATTTGTTCATCTTGGTACCCCTTGTCCTTTCATGTGTGTATTTCACATTTTTCACCCGTGCTCGTATTCTCAGATAAGTAATTGCCATGAATTGCGCCTCAATCCTCGTATGAAAGAAAGGAACATATATTTTTTTCTATTCCCACCTGATTCAATGACGGTATTATCTTCTTTAGCAGCTTCAGCGCAGAACAACTCCATCGCCTTTTTGGCTCTTTCGGATTCTTGCATTAAGGTCCTGATCTGATGGCGCAAGCGCTCGTAAGCCAGCAACCCCGGATCTCCATTGGAGGGAGGTACTAAGCCTTGGATGTAGTCCCAGTCGTCGTCGCTTTCTTCAACTTTCACAAAATATTAAATTTTAAAAACATGTTTTATATCGAAATCTCATGAAAAAGTATTAATATAACCGTTATTTCTATGTTTAGAGCCAAAACCATCAAATTGAAACAAATCAATAAGAGGAAATATCATAGGCCAATAAATGGATATGACTTAATACCATGCCGGGTCTTGCAAGCGGAAGGAGAAAGCGACTTGATTGTCATGATGACTGACGTCACGTTTCTGTTTTCACGCTATATTTATATTTAATTGTCTCGAAAATATACTCTTTTGCAAGAGAATATTCAAGAACTCTTATTTGGCGCAATATTTTGAAATGAAAAATAATTTTAAAAATTGTTGAAAGTAGGTCAGTGAATTCTTAAAGAAGCATGTTGAGTCAATAAAAAAATTACAAAATATACACATATTAGTGTGCAAAACAAGCGATAATTATTTCTGAGGTAGGTTTTTTTAAATAAATAAGGGCAGCTACAACAGCACATATACTTTCTCGCATTATTTCTAACTTTTTCTGAGAGTTCAACAAAAATGAGAACCACACTATCATTTTAGCCGTTCTTTCTGTCTATGGAAACAATTTTAATCTGTTTAGAAAAAAGTTTTACATAAATTGCATTAATTTTAAGCGCAAATTTTGCAAACACTACTCGTTTTATCAAAAAATGCTACATAACATTTTTTAAAAAGCAGATTCTTTTGGAACACGTTTTTTGCAGCAAAGATCTGCATCTTCAATTTTGTAGTTTTGAAACGTCAACTTTTTGTTTCGAAAAAAAAAAATGAGAGATGGCCGAAAATGGGATTAGCACCATATTTTTTACCGTCCCTTGATACAAATGATGAGAGAAAGTGTAAAATAAAAAAGTTGGTGCCAATTTAGGGAGAAAAAATATTTAAATTTTTAAGATCCCCAAATTTCGCGAAAAACTACGCGAAAATACTCATATTATTTAAACATTTTACACGATGCATTATTTGAAGATCGGTCTTTAAAGAACTGATTTCATGAAGGAAAATCTCTGAATCTTCAATGTTGTACTTGAAGGAAGACGCCCCAAATGTTGCAATTTTTGAAATATTAGGGATCTCAACGAATATGAGACCTACACCATTCTCTCAAGCGTCCTTAAGAACAAAGTTTAATCAAAATTTTGGTGCCATTTTCAGAAAATTTTAGAACCAATGTTTTTGAGGCTTCATGTGAAGTAACCTCAAAAATCCAAACATCCTGTTCAAACTACTCCCAAAGCCTTGAGTTCATTTAAATCAATCAGTGAGAATAAATATCGAAGAAATTTGGCTAAACGGCTTAGACATTGACCACAGACAGACAGACAGACAGACAGACAGACAGACAGACAGAATGACGAACAGGTGATAGAGAAACGTATTGCCGTTAATCGTTTTTTCGGTATGAAGGACAAACAAAACATGGATCATGGCTACACCACATCTTTAAGTAATTAACTATACGTACCAACAGAAGTTATCCACTTTTTCGTTACCAGGGCTCGGCAATAAGGATTTTTCTCCAGAAAATTCACTATTTCCCGGAGCACAGTTACATGACATTCTCTTGTTACGAAATAAGTGCGAGAAACTAAAATGTGTTTGATTTGTTTTCGTATAGTCGGTTTAGTTTTTTCTTTGTCTTTTAAATTTAGCAATTTATTTTTGTTTTTAATTTATAATTTACAAGGACATTTACATTAGTTTTAAGTGGTAAATACTTAAAACGCGTAGAAAAATAAATGAATAGCATTGTTATATAAGATGAAGAAGGAATCATAGTACGTATCCATCGCAATCTATGCACTATATTGATGAAATATGTTAGGGGCAATTTTAAAATTCGTATTCCTGTATGTTACAATCCGTATATTATACTTCCTCCTGTCCCGCCAGGTGATCTATGAACCAATTGCCAGTCTTTGGGATGTAAATAACTGCAATAACTAATAACTTTGCAATTATAGATAAAAAAGTCCACTTGAACTTTGACATTTAACTTATATTTGACTACTTTTGAATTTTCATAGAACTTAGAATCGAGTTCGTAAAAGAACAATAAGTTACTCTTACAAACATACGTAGACCTGGCAGATGATGGCACCATTGGAATCCCGGTTGTTATACTTGGTTTTGCTGCTGTTCTCAGAGTTGTTGTAATCGGACGTGGTGTTGTTCTTGAAGCTATTGTTGTTTTCACTGGTGGCAAGGATGGCGGTAAAGAAATGAATGGAGTTGTGGGTGGAGATGGAGGTTGAGTAGGTGGAGTTGGCGGTGGTGTCGGATCTGGCGGCAATAAGGTAACATCGTAATCATCCTTTATAAGTATCTGAAAGAGAATAACTTATCGTGAATTTCAAGAAGAATAAATACTCTTGGTGAGATAGGAAAATTGTAATTATTTTAATACATTCATATTTAACAAGACGTAATTTTATTTACATCCAATCCCTGCTCAACCTCGCTCACCTCCAAGTATCCTATCTAATTCTGTCCCGCTCCATTACGCTCAGTCTCGTTTCGTCCCGTTCCCACCAGGTTCATTCCCGCTCCGACCCTCTCTATCCTTCTCCGTCCCAATTGGCTCCACTCTGCACCGCTCGGGACAGATATTTGTAAACTTTCTCAAAAAGTGACACAATGTTTTTTCATTAACTTTTTGTACAGATAAAGCACCACCTGCTGAATTACATGGCATGAGCGTAATTTTGACTGAAAATTAAATTCTTTATGAAAATTCTAAGGGTGTATTTAAATAAAATTTCCATTGTTAATATTTACTAAACGTGTATTTTAGAATTTAAGAATTGTTTAAGCACAAATGCTTGTATTCACTAGAACGAAGTTTCACGAAATCTCAAGAGTTTCCCTTGACAAATGATCCAATAATTAGGAATCTTCAAAGTGTTCATATTACAATTCTTTTCAAAAATAGTGCCATATTTCCCAGCAAGTAACCACAACAAAAAATATTGTATTCCCACGTGATTTTCTCAAAGTCTTGCTTCAAGTAAATTTTTTGCAGTATTTTAAGCGCTATTTTATAAGCATATATTGTTTTGTTAAATACATATATTTAAAAAATTAAGCCATTTCTGAAAAAGTCTTGTAAAAACGTTGAAGAGGCTTTTTAAAAAGAACCATCAGTAATCAAACGATTCTTTTCGAATTCAACGAGCCGTGACATCCACCAGATCGATCGTGAAATATCTTATATGGAAACTAATGTACAATATCTTATTTGGAAACTATTGCATACATTTTCTGGAATTATTGGTATGGGTTACGTAGTATATTATTATATTGCCTCTATTCTTTTTAGTCATCACTCGAAAACGCGAACAAAATGGAAACAGATAAAAAGAAACAATTGCAACAATTAGGTGAACATTCTAGTGCAAATTGCACTTTCATAAGAGGCGCGTGCCGCAGGGAGTGATGCTCTAAAATGTTTTTTACGAATCAAAACGTTCTTTGACAAACAGATTACCGTATGTGGCGATACCAGATTACGCTAGCCAATGCCATGAACTAAGAGCACTTCGAATTGGAAAACACGAACGGCAATGCAACCATTAGAGGCATTCGAAAACTAATAATGCAACGCTGAGTGCTGGTTCGAGCCAATAAGTCCGAGAGTTGTAATATAACCCTGTCTATAGACGACGAAAAAAAGGACAAGTGAAAAACCAGAGGTAAAATTTCGAAACCGGTATTTTAATTTTTTAACGATGGTGATAAATAATGACTCTTCTCATCGTCCCGACTTCTAGACGCAACCAGTTGCGCCAATGCACATTTCGAACGGGACAAATAAACACTTCCACAATTAATGATATTATTATATAATTATAAATTAATGTTTATAACTTATGACGCATTGAATTGGAAGTTTCCAAGTCAGCAATTCACACAAAAAGCACGTAGAAATTAAATAATTGGATCAGGACAAAGTTAAATTATTTTCCTACAGGGAACAACAATGCGCCCGGAAGCACTACTCAATGAATCCAGAAGGGGGCAATACCCTCAATCCCACATGTAGGTCGGTCCGGAATCTCACGTTTGGGGGGGGGGAAGAAAAGCGTCACCTCCCAGGCTGTAACTTACACTACACTTGCTGTACTAATAGAGGTTGTCGTGTCTAGAAACACGGAATAATCAATGAGTCAATGATATTGCTCTGTGCTGTGTACCTTGAGCACGTGTTTGGGGCCATGGAGGAGTTGGGTGAAGAACTCGAAGTCCACGCCCTCGGCGGCCTTGCAGCTCAGATTCTGTGGACGCGTGATGGAGCTCAAAATCCTAGGGCGGGCGGTCGGGTCGCTGGCTCCACAAACCGCCACGCACAGAAGCGCTCCCAGCACCCACCGCCACGCTTCGTGTCGACGCATCTCGCGCTGCGTGCAGTCTGCGGAGCGGTCGGCTCAACCGCTTCCGTTTCCCCTTCACCTCCACACTCGTCTCAGCCGCTTCTACCTCCGTCCGTGCCTCCCCGCCCTCCGGGCTGCACCGCACCTGTCGCCCCACGACCCGACGACAGTCACCCTGCTTCTCTCATCTGCCGCTGACACATGCACCCGCCGACCACTTGTCATTTTTGATTCTCCACCGCCCCTCCTCACACAAGTACAGGGAAAGAAAGAAATGTAATGCTTCGAAAATGATATTCTCCCCGAAAAAAACAAACAAAATAAAGCAATCGTATTGTAGGTCCCTGATGTCAAAAAGTAGACAATTCTTGCTCCGAATGTATTTTCAGATTCAAATGTACAAGTCAATTCAGTTGATTCAATTGAAATGTTACTTTTTTCGCAATTTTGAAATAATTTGGGATTTTAACCACAAGAGATCTGCATCATATACTTAAGAGATCTTTACGCTATCTGACAACAAAAATTAATAAAAAAAGGGGGACCTATTTTTTTGAAAAATTCACAGGTATTTCATGTAATTTCGCCCTTCCCTCAAGAAAAAATATCAACTTCTAATTGATGGGCCCGCGACTTCGGCCAGATTGATTCGTAATATCAGTTTTGGAGAAAATCGGCTGAACGGTTTACGTTGACCACTGACGGACATACAGAAAGAAACTGAGAGACAGAGACACGAAGAGAGAAACAGAGAGAGACAGAGACACGGAGGCCTTTTCTTTTTCACAGGGCTTGAATATGTAAACAACGGTGCAATGCTTTGCACTTTTCTCATTTACTATAAATAGAAACAATATGTGTCCACTTTTGAGTTACCAAGGCTTGGCAATAAGATTTTTGGCGTCGAAAATTCGCCGATTTTGTCTCAACAGCTTTATAATACTTTCTCTAAGTAATCAGTAGCAAGAAAATAAAAATGAGTACGTTTCACGTAATTTTGAGACTGAGTGACGGTTACAAATACCACTGGACGGCAGTGAATTTGTTAAATGGCAAACTGTAACTGTTTCTTATGTAGTTTGCTACGCTAAGGCCAAATACAATCACAAAACTTGCCCACCGGGCTGATGTTTTGTATAATCGCACATATACTACAATGACATACATATCGCAGAGAGCTCCCTGTCGTTTTTACTGAAACGCTAGTTGCTTGTAAGTTTATTTCACAACGATTGTTGCCAATATCGTATGATACTGTAAATTTTATTAAAGGTATGAAACAGGCGCTAGACTGGTCAAATTAGTCGTGAATAGATAAATGAAATGCTTTGTGTCTCGGAAAGTTTACGACGTGCCTACTCGTCCTGACACGTTAGTTGCGCCCTGTGTGTCAAGTAAGAAAGTTGCTATAACTGTGTAGTTTACGACTTATCTTGACGTTGCGTACGAATCCTAATATTTTTACGAACTGATTCCTTGGAATGCAGCGGCAGTGTGTAAACCATCCAAACAATTTCTGTTCTGTGTGGTGAGGCAACTTAAAAGATCCAAAGGCGCAATATTACTCCCTTGACAATAAAGGCTTATGCTTTGCGTTTTGTCGGATCAGTAATCAGTACAAATTGTGGGCCCCTGATATTTGTCATTCGTCTTGTGTAACATAACTTTGTGTTTTTTTACATCTTTTTATTTACAATACCCATGGTATTTGTATTTAGCCATTATACTACGTCCCGTAAAGAGCAATTCGCCTCGGTGCCGTTTTGTCTGGGGGTCCTAGTCTGTCAGCCAAACAGGAAGTCGTAATATCTCGAATTTTATTTCACGTAGTCCAAGACCATTTAATATCGGAACCTCCATTCAGCCCTTGTAAATCAAACACGGATTGGTGAATAATTTCGTGAAGGCAATGGATAAAAGTGGGCCAAGTTTCCTGTACTTAAAAGAACCAATTCTCAAGAATCTGTGGCACGAAAAAAAGGAGGGTGTTTTTGCAAGACCTAAAATAAAGGGACCTATTAAGAATCTATTTTCCATAGGAAACTGATATTCTATTCCGTTTAACAGACAAAAATGTTAATTTTGTCAACCAGTGAAATAAGAGAAAGTATATGCTGATGTATCACCAATAATTTTGAATTTAATCCTCTGCACACTACCTCCGAGGAGGCGCGAATTTATTATATTTCATTTACGTACAACCTTGTTTTACGTACTGCCGTGCGGTTAGAGCAAGCTTAGCCCACTAATATCCCCGCTAGTATGTGGTAGGTATACTAGCGGGCTATGAAAAAAGCTTCTAGAGATATTATATTTTAGATTTTTAGATTTATTTAGTAAAAAAACAGTAAAAACTGTATGTGACGTATGAATAAGATCATCTGCGCACGTTTTCTTATTATTCGTTATAAAAACTTATTTGCTACAGTAAACGAACTGCAGATTTCATTTTCTGCTTTGCTAACAAAATTTCGGCCAGTGCTGACTATCGTCAACCATGAAAAGTATATTTGAACATACATGTGTGCGTGCTCATGTTTGTAATCAACTTTATCAATATTACCAGTTATACACCTCCATAGTTAAATCTGTCCTAAAGAGTTAATGCCCACCACATTGTCGTTTCCGTTTGCCGTACCTCCGACGCCACGCCGACAGAAAAACATCACCATATCCTCCTGTTGCGCTTCCTCCTTTGAGTCATCACCACCCTAGCTACCACTCACCATCACCGCTCCAAGCAGCTGGTCTCTCATCCGATTTGACCTAATTGCATTGGATATGCAAACTAACATAAGGCGATATACGTTGGTGAGACAGCCTCAGATCAGGCTTAGATCTCAGAAGGTCTGGTGTCACAATAATAATAGAAACTGTAACCTTGTGCGATACAATATCTTAGTGTTTCCATGAAACGTTCATTCCACGAAGTGTTGTTTACACGAATGGTCTGAACACCAGATTTCTGAATAATAAGCCATTAATACTGCATGGCATTTAACCTCGGTTTACTCATGTACAATTTATTCGTCGAATAGATAATCTCAAATGTAGAGATACATTATAAATTGATTGCATAATACACAATTATATTCCTCTAAATGACACTAATTTTTTTCTGTGAAAATAAAACTAAGAGAATGTGGGTAAAGGAATTTTTAAACTTGTATACAGAATATACTTGGATAAAATTCTTCACTAAAAGCATTATCGGGCATTCATAAAAAAATATTTAATTTAAGAGAATATTGTGTATTTGCCAGAAGAAAAACGATGTATGCACAACTGAAGAAATTGGACTTTCCTTTTATCAGCCTCCTTCAATCCATTACGTGATTATGGCTTCATCTCCACCGGCGGAAGCCAATAATGAAAGAGAGTCGGGACGTCCTCTCTCATGGCGGCTCAATAAGAATTGGGCAAACAGAGAGAGTTACTTGTCTGTAATCAATGCACAAAAATCATACCTGCAATTCTTTTACCGATGCATATAAGTTTTCTATAACTCGGGATCTAAAATATCTATTTTTTTTCGAATATTGCTAGTCTCACGCTTTTTTAAGTTTACTTTATTTATTTTAAACTTTTACTCATCTTTCAACTATTTATAATTAAGATGGTGGGAAGGGATTCTGGAACTCAAGAAAATGTGCGCAGATGATCTCCCCCATACGTCACATACAGTTTTTACTGTTTTCTGTACTAAATATATCTAAACTGAATGGGGAGGAAAACTCGCGCCATGAATCTTTGAGATGCTGCATTAGTATTCCTCTGGAGTAACCAAGAATACAACGTTAACCACCCATCAGAACAGCCGATCTACGAATTCGGTCTCTCCCGGCACCTTGCACTCGCTAATGTTCCAGAAGTCAACCAAACCTTTCATCTGCTGGAATCGAAACCGCTCGAGCAGACATTGGCTCCACCCTAAGACCCGAATTTCAGGCTTTACACGATTTTTTTTGACAAATAAGTTCGGAATCTTAGCGAACGCGCACATGCGCAAGGGCGCTTCTAGGAGACATGAGGGTGTTCGCTAAAACTCAGGAATGATCGTTAAAAGGAGAATAACATTCCATCACATCGTCCGGATGGTCGAGATCGTTAAGACAGAAGTGCCGTAGCGATCTCGGACTGAAGGATCGGGAGTTCAAGTCCCGCCTCGAGCAGGGTTCTGTTTGTGTATGTCCTTTCACGCCTCACCATTACCATATCACATTATACTGTGAACCCTATCGTTAATATATATTGGTCGATAATGACCTACATGAAAAAAAAAAGGTACCTCCACCTTCCGAATATATTTTACTTTTAATCGTGAAATGGTCAACCCCGAACTTGCCTTATTTTACGTGGCGAGACTCGCGCCATCAGGCCCGCCTTTCCGTCTGACCACGCAAATTTCGCTACGCTCCTTTCATCTAGCAGAGAAAGAAGGTATTTCTTGGGCGAGAAACAGGCGATTTGAATTTAGCTCAGAGGCGTCATTTAGACTTGAGGGTCTTTTACATGCAAGTAAATCTACGATCATGGGACAGCCGGCTTTACTTCCCCTCCGAAGGAAGGTGTACGAAGGATTTTTTCGCCCTTAAAAATCCACGGCTTCGATCGGGTTTGAACCCGCCAACTAGGGTACAACAGTCCAGTACGCTAACGGCTGATGGTGTGCTTTCTCTTGTTGCAGGTGAGGCAGTCGGGCGCTCGCTGGGCGGGGCAGGGCGCCGCCTCAGCGCGCCCTGGCGGAGCGGAGAGGGGCGGCGCATGGCGTCTGCCCGTCGCGTCGGTGGGTTAATTAATGTGCAAATTACCCTTCGCATGCACCACAGCGCGGACCGCCTACCTCCGCTGTCCCGGCAAGCCCGCTCTCTCGCGGCGGACAGTGGCGCTCTCGGCGGGCGGGTGTTGCACTATTAGATTCCTGTTTGATGACGTACAATCACGACTGTATCGTGCGCTCCACGACTTGTCACCATAGTGGGAAGTCATGGGTATGCTATTGCGCATCGTATCCAATTTGATCCAACTATCCATCGTATCCAATGAGATTCAGGCACTACTTTCCTTACAATAGCGGTAATTGTAAATGCAGACAGTTATCAAACTTATCACTTTGTTACTAGCCATTGAAAC